ATACCTAAAGGTCCATGCCACATAGATATAAATCATCTCACTTTAGCAAAGCTTGCGGAGGTCACGAAGGGGTGTCATGGGATGCTTTAGCGGCTAAGAGGGCATCATGTCGTGTTTGAAGATAGGTGGATTGAAGGTGAGCATGTGTGCCCTTGTACTGTTAAAAAAAAAGCGTAAAAGAAACAAAAAGGCATTTGGCATCTTCAAAGGTGGCATTGGAAGGCTAAGCATATCGGGCTTAGTCTTACGCAGCATTAAGTGCGAGATCGCCCTCTTCTGTTAGTGGTTTTGTCGGTGGTTTAGGGTGTGAAATGAGCTGCTCCCTTACTATGCCTATTTCTCAAAGTTCGCGGATCCATTAAACCCTGCGTAAACACTTTGCATGCCAATGAGCCCCAAGCCTGGAGGAATCTTCAAGTGGCTTCGGCAAAGACACTTAGGCCGGCCATGGAGCTCAACTTGTCTAAGTTCCCCAAGTAATTGGATGCCCTTTAAGAACATAGGTTTCCAAAACCTGCATTATTTTTTTTTGGGAGCTAACCCCTTTGGCATGCCTGTGCAGCACCCGAAGCTGAAGGCTGAAGACGTACATCCCAATCTAAGCCCTCGCGGCTAAACTCCAAAAACCAAAAAACTGAACCCTGGGAACTTGAACCCACAGCCAAATCCCCAAACCCTGAATCCAAACCTCAACGAAGCTTCGGGTTTAGGGTTCAAATAGGAACTCCTTATCCCACACCCAAGCAGTTTGGAAAGAGGAGTGGTAAAAGACCTTGAACCCTCACACCCTAAACCCAAGCCCTAAATCCCCTAATCCTAATCCCTTGAATCCCTGAATGGGTTTTACTACCCAAGCCTGAATACCCATGATCCCTTGAATCCCTGACCACACCCTAAACCCAGAACCCTAAACCCTAAAAGCCGTGATCCCCTGAATCCCTTAATGATTTTACTTTGCATCCCTAAACCCTAAACCGACACCTAGGCCGACGCTGCAGGCGTTACAGGCCAAACTCGGCGAGGTGGAGGTGCAGCTGTCAAAATAGATATAGAATGCTATAGACTGAACTCCCTAAAGGTGATTATGTAGGGATTGTTCTAGGGAGTATTATAATAGGGGTTATTAACCGGGGTACTAGGAGTTTAGACTATAGCTCAAATACGGTGTAGGGTTTAGGGTTTAGGGGTTGGGGTCATGTCAGGATTAGGGCTTACGATGTTTTGGCCTGATTTCGTTGTAGGTTCCGGGGTTTAGGTGTGAGGATTTAGTGCTGCAGAAGCCTCAGGAAAAAGCTTCATACCTGAGTAGAGAACCAGATAGAAGATGAAACAGGAGCTGGGTCTATAACAAAAGGTCCTTATGGGAATTTCAATGCAGGGGCCTAGACGATTGTATGGGCTCTGCAGGGTGTTCTATGCCAGTTGTACAAAGAGTGTAAGCCAATACTACTGATACAAAGTCTCTACAATAGAAGATTGGTTGCTCACAATGTGAGTCAGTAGGGTTTCCCCAGGTTGGCATGGAACCTTATAAAGATCCACTCAAATGTCAGTTTGCCGTTTTTATCGATTCTTTGCTAAGATGTTGAACAGGGTTTTGTCTTTGGGGCACAGGGCTTATGGGTCAGCATGGGGCAGAAGCTTTTGCATACAATATCGCAGTCTAGCTAGCCTGTCAAAGAGATCCGACCAGAAACATATGGAGACTTGCAGCACGGATGACAAACGGTCTCTGACACTAAGTTTTGGTTTAGATTTTCGTGTATGATTGCACACGTGTACACGCACGGTTAGTGGCGCAATTATTCTGAAATTCAAATGAGCAGGGTCTAGGCGACCGATTTTGTTTGGATTCCCGTGCAGGTTGTCCCTAGAAACACGGAAGATGGCGTCCTTCAAACTAACTAGCAAGCCCATCAGGGTGACTACAGAGGCGGCTGTCGTTTCAACGATGTTTGCGTGGGTTACCATGTTAGTCGGGGAAGGGTAGGGGGATGTAGGGCTCCTCTCCTAAATTTCCAAAAGCCTTAGGTTCTCAGGTTCTATTCACTTGAGAGTCCGGGCTTCCAGGTCAGGATTGTATAAATTCAGGCTCAGCCTCAAAGGAGGCTCTGAAATCATGATTCAGTCTTTGTGCCCACTTTGCGGGGAGTGACTGTTGTGTACTTTCGAGGTACAAGGATGAACCGTTGAACTTATGAGTGTTTATCAAACTCCGGCTGGCCAGCACCGGAAGGTAGTGGGCATATTCCTTCCAATTTTGCAGATAAGCACCTTGTCGGCTTGCGTCAAGGAGATCTATGATTGCAGAACAGCTTGGTGACCCATGCCTTGCAGAAGACAGAGAAACAATGGAAGGCCTCAAGAATCATGAGGGGCCATGGCCCATGTGGCGCAACATGAGGCCATAAGTAGACTGCAAACCCTGGTTTTGAATGATCAACGCAGGCTGAGGCTCTTAAGCCCTATAGCCCTGCCCTGTATACCCTACACTGTATACCCCCCAAAAATGAAACCAGAAGCACGCCCGCCGTCCAGGCCCAAAACATGGCGCTGAAGCGAGCTTTGAACCAGAGACCAATCGTGTGCGCCAAAGCAGACCTGTGGCCTCAGCGTGTATGGTCTAGGGCTCTCGACTGAGTGCTGATGATGACAGGAGGGTGGAACGGTAGCAAAAGTCATAGTCTCCCTGGGAAATGCCTATTTCTATGGTTAAAAACATGGGCCCCTAGTATGGGCCCTTAGCCCCAGGGTGCTTATATACCCGTTATATACCCTATAACCTTAGACCGTTGCCGCTGAGATCAGATGTGGCTGCTCCTTCCAGGTATCAGTTTGCTCCCCCAGATGCCGGCATTGATTCCCCAGATGAGGCGGGGCTTAGAGTGGATTTGCCTTCTAGAAATGCCTCTAGAAATAATGGAAAAGGCAAATGGAAACCACTAAAGTGTACTAAGGTATTGGGATTACATTGGGATAGTGGGGGTTTATATTGGAACTATAATAGGGCATGGGCCTTGATCAGGCCCTCAACAGTTGAAGCATGCATCTTGTCGCGTGGATCAGCCCAACTGCCAAAAATGCTTCCGTAGCTTGATTGGAGCGCTGGGAGGGCGCTGGGATATATGGCAAAGACCTTGAAAATCCCCCAAAGCTCTTTAAACTCGACTCGGAGCCCTCGATTGGCTGTTTATGCCTGCCCTGTGACGAGGAGGCGGCCGATGCAGTTGGCCAAGTGGAGGCGCCGAAGGTAGCTGTGAAAATCTATCTTGACTCCCCAATACCTTATCCAGCCCTATAAGTATGGTAGTTTCCGAACATAGGGGGGCCAATGTAGATCCCAATATACTACAAGGCTTAAGATTGGGACCCCAGTAAGGTACCCGTAATTCTGGGAAACCCCATATACGAGTAGAAAGTTACATGCCCAGTTAGCATGACGAGTGGAATAGTCAGGCTGCTGCAAAGAATGAATGTCTTCCAAGTGGCCTTGCAAGATTCATGCGGTAGCAGTAGCATCGATAGGCCTAATTTATTTGCAGTAGCCTGAGCTGCTTCATGATGATGGTGAATTATCAGTGGGGGAGTGGGGGCAGAGGCATGCCGCAAGTCTCTAAACCTCAATCACCCAAAACCGGTAGACCCTTCAACGCCTTGAACGCTCAGCCTCTAACCCCTAAAAACTCTGAAAGCGCTGGACCTGAAAATCCTAAACCCTAATTCCAAAACCCAAAACTCCAAACCCGAAAACTCTGAAGCCCAAAGCCCAAAACCTCTCCAAACAGTTCCTACAAGTCCGTCCAGGAGCTCGGCTCAGCACAGTCGATCACATTCGTTGGCCGACATGTCGCCCTAAGCTGTGCAAGGCGCTATTAGGGTTTAGGGTTTAGGGTTTTAGGGTTTAGTAGGGTTCTGAGTTGAGCTTAGGATGTAGGATACGTAGGGAATGAAGGTGTGGAAAAGGAGATGGAACCTAACCAGTACGTTAGGGTCTGAAGTCTTTGCTTGTAGGGTCCCACATTTACACCCCAAGATACAAGGTGTTGAAGCATGACTAGTGCCCAGCAAGGCCACAGCCTTTTGAGAGCAGCGCGCTGGCACTTGCACACGGACAGGCTGAGTTAGCAAGCGGGGCGAAGAACGAGGATCTAGCTTAGAAGGACCTGTTTGCGTATGCAAGCCCAGTTTCCATCTTATCTTCCATGATCTTTTACATTTGATTCTCCATTATTTTTTTCAGCAGCTTCCATTTCATTTTCGATGTTCTTTTCCATTTGGTTCTCCATGATTGGGTCCCTGTAGTAGGCAGATCCTTCTCGACCTGCCAGCTTAAAGTTTGAAATGCCCCTGTCTGCTGAACCTCTCAGAATCCAAGACACCATTTCTATGATGCCTTGCGCCGTCTCTGCGTCTTCAGACGTTTTGCACGCAGAGCATGTGCTCGACGAAGATGCCTTGCGCAGGCGATGCGTGGTGGTCTGCACGCAATGCCGCAAGCAGAGGCGCCCATGATAGGGATTGGGGTGGTGGAATGTTGAGTTGCCTGGGTCCTTGTTGCGAATGCTTTCATTTTTGACCTCATACGACCGCTTAAGGACACTTCTTTCATTTCATAAATTCTCACATATTCGCCAGGGTCCCCCACAGCTGCCCCCACTTCACGTGGGTTACAGGTACATCGAGACGTGGTTCTTCGTGTCTGGGCTCTAAGAATATGATGGACAACTCTAATTGTCTTTTGGGCAGCGACCATGTATACGGATCGCTGTATGGAATCATTGAACCACCGTTTCAGCATTTAGTTGGTTGGTCTTCAACAGATTGTGTGTGCTTTGTGGTGAGCATTCTCGATCCGTCCTCCTTGCACGAGTCCGTCACAGGAGGCGTGCTGAAGCCCTGAACGCTCAACCGTAGTGGCAGTTTCTCACCATACCCAGCATACAATCCTCGAGGGCTCGAGGGGGCCCCTACAATCCCTAAATATTGCATGTATCCCCCAAGTCCAACAAGGCATCCCCATGTGGAGATTTCCGCTTAATTCGAAGCCAGATAAGATACCTTATAATTGGAGGCTGTGTGTGCAGGACACAAGAAATGTGACATCGGTGCAAAAAAAAGATTTGGTCTCCCCTCGTTCAATAAGTGTTGTCCTTTCCATTTGCTTCTCGCAGAAGAAGGTTCAGGCAGGTTAAGATTCCTCTGTGGGCCCACCCTGCACTCTCTTCCCAAACATTTTGTGGCCTGGAAGGCTTGAATACTGAGTTGTTGAAGATTGGACCAGAAAAGCCTCCGCCCAAATGAACTTTTCGCTAGAACCCTAAACTTGCAAAGCCAGGTGGATTTGGGGCTTGGAACACCAGCTGAGATGGTAACCTCGGTCGCACAGTTTGGCATGCGAGGGATTCTCAAGCAGGGGTACTGCGTGGACCCCAGGGATACATAGGGAAAAGTACGAGGATTATGGGCTCTGTTTCAGGTTTGTTCTCGGTTTTTGCACTGGAATTATAGGTTCTGAAGGCTACGGGGTTTAGAACTTGGGTGTTTGGGGCTTGGGCTTCTCGCCTTTGGTGCCCATGTGCAAGGATGCTTCCCCTTCATGTGGCAGTTGTCGGCGGAAGTTGTACGCCTCTGTTTCTCTGCTTTTTTTCTGATGCTTGAAGGCGGGGTGTCGACCCCTGTAATGATCTCTACATGACAGCGCGCCTTTCTGTAGAAACTGTACTTATTCACTTCCCCACTCCCCTTTGCGCATCAGTAAGTTCTTGCTCACTCATATGGAGCAGGTGCTGTCAGGACACACTGCGGCATGGTTCGAAGGTTTTCAGAGTGCTATGATTGTCACGTTCTTTCTGTTTGGTGTCCGTACGAACCAGTGACAAGGTTCACGCGGCGTGTTCTCGAACGGCCGCTCCTGATGTCCGGCCCTTGGCAAATCGATATTCTTCTTTTGGATAACACCACAGGGTTTTCTAGGGCCACTCAGCCGTGGCCAAAGATCCTGGAAGCCTGGACTGTTGCTAGGCTTGTCTTCAGACCTGTGGCCCTCATTTGCCTCTCATTATCCCCCTTTATTTGTAGAGTTTTGTAACGGCCCCTTCGATTGAGACCCCCTCCATACATGTAGGATGTTGCTTTCAGACTACTGCAGAAAGGTGTGCCCCTTACCTCTAAACCCGAAACCCTCAAAAAGGTGGGCCTTTTACCTGCACGTGGTGGTTCTTTGGTGCCTGGAAGCATGGCGACAGGCCCGGTTTGGGGGGGCTTTGGGAGGGGGGTTTGGGGTTTAGCAGGGGTAGAGGATAAGGGCTTGGGAGTAAGGGGATGAGGGATTTAGGTGTCATTGGTCTGGATTTCAAGATGAGATGTTCGGGGGTCTATGGGTTGGGTCTTGGAGCCCAAGCTCCATGATTTCTGAAACCTTGCAGACTTCCGCATCAGCATGTGCGGCCAGCCTCACTGCAATCCAGAAGCTTAGAATTATGTGAGAAAGCCAAAAACTGCTTCAATTCAACCGCCTCCCATCTTTTCGCGAGCGACATGAATGATTTGGCAGCCTAAACCCCTGATTAATCCGAACCACTCATCACTCGTACATCCTAACTTTGTAGGCAAAAGTTGCTGAGACGTGAGCTCTCCAATTTTCACGGCCCTAGACCCTGGACCACTAAACCTATTTCCCGCCCGCTGGATCTCTAAATCCATAGACAATTTACTGCCCAGACTACATCTAATTACGAACCTGACTAACGCGTAGCTTCCACTTTCCTCTTATTCTCAGGTAAATCCCTAGTACCCCTAGATATTCTCATGCCTAAGCCTCTAATTCTCCCTAAAACCCCTAAACCCTTAAACCCTGAACCCTAACCCTAGACTCTAAGCCACAAACCCTGGAACCCTCAAACCCCAGACCCTAAACTTTAAACCTTAAACCCCCAACCCTAAATCCCCAAGTAAATGCCTGCAAGGCGCTCGCCAAGCCTCTGCCGGCCGATCCTGCCATGGCCCTGGAGTCTGCGGTGCAGGCCGCTGAACAAGGGGAGAGGGGCTGGGGTTAAGGGCTTCCATGGTTCTAGGTTTAGCGATGGCATCTTGCCTGCTGCGTTGCTGAACGTTGCTGTGCCTTAGACCAAGCCCTGCACCCTAAATCGTGCTGGCAGTCCCTAACATTTTGCCGGCATAGAAGACAGCGGCTACGAATAACAACTACGACAATAGCACCGAAGAACCTTACAGAGCCATAGTTATATTGGTGAGGAGGCTAGCCATACACTACATATCTCGTGAGAGATGTGGGTCATCAGCTTGATTAACAGATGGCGTCATATGTTGACCCAATACCTTGTTGATAGTTTCTGGGTGGACCTTCTTGAAGCACCTTCTGCGGAAGCACAAGCCCTAAACTCCCATTGAACGTAAACAGGGCATCGCAGGAATGTAAAGAAGTCATAGACTCCAAGGTCATTGCCTGCAAGGACATGTTGCACAAGCCAGGTTTGTAAGCATGAAGACAATGATCCAGATATAGGCCCCAATGTAGACCCCACTGAAGTCTAATCCTCGTTATAGATCCCTCAAAAGGGCCCTTAATTTTTGGAAACCCTGGCATGGAACCCAAAGTTCGACAGGCTGCGCGCGGTGCACTGGCCCCAGCATTCTCGTTCGTAGGGTCTGGGTTTTTGGTGCGCAAGGCTTAGGATGTAAGGCGCTTGGGCTTTAATAGTCCGCATTACGTAGATAGAATAGGGGCTATATGGGGATGTCATTATGATATTGGGGAATTCCATTTTCTATCGACTTAAAGGGGACTATAGGGTTCTGGGTCCTTGAACTGCACCTGCTTGGGCCCTCAAAAGCTGTTCAGTGGGGTACCTACCTTGCAGCCAGCCGAGGCAAAAGGGCTTCGCGTAAAGGACAGGGCGCGATTTAAGATTAAGCTTCGGGTGTTGAGTGAGCCCTTCTCCGCAAAAACTAAGTTCTGTATAAATCTAAGCCATATTATTCAAAAAGGGAAGGAAGAGTAGGGGCATTGCCTTTATCATCAGTGTTTTTGCAACGCATGAGCAAGTTGGAATTGCTTGCAATTACTCCACGTGTCTTCTTGATTCGTGCTGAAATTGCCATGAACGGTTGTGAAAAGCGTCATGCGCAGTATCATCAGCACCAGAATCATCATGTTCACACTGTACTTTAGGGGCTGCAAATACTTACCCATGTTCGGTCCATGCTGATGGGTCTCAAAATGATTTTCAAAATTGTTATGGCCCCTGTATTACTTGTTTCTGTTGACGTTCATGCCTATCTGCTGTCGTGGCCCCCATCTGCTGAAAGCCGGCTCCTGTCTGTCATAAGCTGATGAGGGGAGTAAACCCCAAGCTTAAACCGCCAAAAGCTGCAAGACTCGAAGCCCATCAACTACAGCAACATTACCAGCCGCTGAACCCTAGACCCCAAGACTGATAGTTCAGGCGATTCCCCCCACCAATTCATCGTGACCACAGGGGAGAAAGGTCATCATATTCGCGCATCTCCAAAACCTTAAAGTTAGCCTGGCCCTAGACATTCTGCCTTAACGTCTAAACAGTGCATTTGCAAAGTGCTTGCCATCCTGGCTTTCCAGGGCTGAAAGAGTGCCCCTGCAGTCTACTGCATCGACGCGGCAGGCTTCCAGGATTTCTTCGGGGTTTGGGGTTTGGGGGCTCCAAGGGCTTTGTTTTATTGGGTACGGTTAAGGGTTTAGAAGATGATCCCATGAGATTTGTAGATCCTCGTATAGGGATAATGTATTGCTTGATGCAGGGTTCGAAGTTTAGCTATGGGATTGGGGTGCCTGGTGTTGCATTCCTGTCTAGCCGGGAATGCGAGAATCCATTCCCGAGTGAGCATGACTAGGCTTCGCGGTGTTAGGATAAAGGTTTGGGTGTGGAGTTTTGCTCTTGGCATGAGTCGCAGAGCTTCGAAACACAAACAACTCTGCCTGGAGTTCAACCCTAAATCCTAAACCAACGTGTTCTTGAAGCCCAGACAAAAAGGAATCCGGGATGGGAGTTTAGGTTTGAAGTCTCCAAAGAATCTCCTTTTAAGACATCTAGAGAATGCCCTGAAGAAGGGCCTAAGCCCTAGGTACACCCAGAGGCCTTTAACCCCTTTAAAATTGCTCCCAGAAAGCAATTCTAAACCAATTTTGACTGAAGCTTGGTTGGGAGGCGACTGCCGACATCTGGCCTCGAGTTTGTCTCAAGTTTGTCTCACACACCGGTAGCCTGCAATACTGGGAGGGTCCCTACTAGGAGTTGGGTTCAGGATAGCCTGTACCCTAAACCTAAACCCCTAATCTCCTAAACCCCCTAAACTAATTGGCCCATTTAGGGAAACTACCAGATATTGGAATACCTGTTTGGTTGTTGGTTGTCCTCATCGGCCCCTGCTAGCATTTCAGGGAGATGCTAGGCTGCTATTCACAGCATATGCGCGGCCAAAAAGTGCAGCAAACATGAGCATGGTAGTGCAGCCGATTGAGATTCATGTATTTGCTGGCCGAGGGTTGGGTAGATTGGAGTTTCAGAAACCTACGTAATAGGGTCTGCTTTTTATGCAGCTCGTGAGGTAGCCCCGAAGACAGAGAAGCAGCCAAAGGTTCCCAGCAAGGAGGGCGTATTGTGGAAGCTTGAATATCTAGCATAACTGGTATGACTCCCGTGTGTAATTATGTCAACACTATACCCCTAAACCCTGAACCCCAAGAATCCTTATTCCCATGTGTAATTAAACTGAGATAATACACCCCTAAACCCTAAACCCCAAGACCCTATACCCCTAAACCCTAAAACCCAAGAATGGTTCAAGTTTCTACATGGTAGTTTCTCAAAATAAGGGGACCCCAATCTAGACCCCAAAATACTATAATCCTTATTATGGGGACCCCCAAAATGGTACCCCTATTTTTGGGAAACCCACACATAAAAGAATAGCTCTGGAGGCTCGGGATGACGAGGTTGAGGTTTGAGGGTGAAAGCTTTCCTGGATCCTGCAATGTAGCTTCGTTTTGGGTTTGGTATGGTTTTTTTTGGCCTAGGATGCTTAGTGAGGCTTTTAAGAAGGTTTGGTCTAGGCAGGGCTGAGGTTGAGAAATTGGGTGTAGATACGTAGGATGATAGTTGGCTGGTTTGTTCCCTGAGCATGTTTGATTTGTAGTTTCTGCTATCTACAATCTTCATAAGAAAGCTGAGAGTATGATTTCTAGAAGGGTTCGAGGAATTCAGATTTCGTACACCTAGCATCTAGCAGTCCTTCCCGCCATGTGCATGGGAAAGGGGGTTGACTATCTGGGCATATCCGAAGTCTGTGCCTATCATACTTCCTGGAAGGCAGTTCCTGGCTAGAGGAGGCTGGCACAAGCAACAGGACATGGGGTTTCTCGGTGAAATCCGTAAGGAATCCTTGAAAAGGACCCTCCTTATAACCATTCGCTACCTGTGTATGCCCCACCTCCCACACGACATCCCTATCAATACATTTCGCCGTATTGATACCATGGCACCATGTAGGGAATATTCATCGTTGGGGGTGGGCTGGGGGCTTAACTTGCTTTAACTATGTATTAGGGGAGGGGATCAAGGCCTCTAATGTTGGAGTCTTCCAGGCCGTTGCCGCCACATAGCTTTTGTTCTGTGGGTATATCCGAGGTAAAAACCCTGTGCTACAACACCCGAAGCCTGGCTTGTATAGGGCCGTTTGGCTCCAGTTACCCGCGGTGGCGCGAGCACAAGCATCCACTTTTGCAAAGCTGGGGTGAATGCTCATCAAATTTCAGGCGCTTTCACCAATCTGGGGCACAGTAGGGACCTGATGCCGTCAACCACGCAGCCACCATGATTTTCTGACTCTGACTTTATCATAAGATTCACATCAGAAGGTCTAATTGCGAGCCTTGTAGTCCTTACGCATATCGATTATCTGAGTGGCCATTTGCGGTCTGCACAATGACTGCAGTTGTGTCGCGCTAGCATGATTACCAGAGCAAGGTTTACCTCCACTAGTATAGCCACTATGCAATCATGATTGCCCAATTATTCTTATCGCTGCACATCACTTGGATTTGACATCATGCAGCTGGGTTTAGCTATGATTTAGCAGCATCTATAGAGGTGCTGGGACAGCCGCAATGCCGCATGACTTCGAAAAGCAGGTCTTGCTGGCAATGTGGGGTCTTAGGAGGTTTAGGGGTTAGGGTTTACGGTGATCACAT